GCACGCAATGAGGCCTCAGTCGTGGTGGTGTTTTCAGCGCTGTCCGGCGGTAACCGTTGGGACTCAAGTTCCTCTAGGCGTTGGCACGTGGCAACAACGTCAGCGACTGTGGTCCGGTTTTGTATGACCAAGGCATTGAACGTGACCATGCCGATCCCTTTCAATAGATGACGAACTCTCTCTGATTCAGACATAGACGTGCTGAAACGGTGACAGAGAGCAAGCACATCCTCTATGTACGATGTGTAAGACTCACCGCATTGTTGCTTGCGAGCATCCAGTGTCTTCTTCGCGAGAGCTGAACGAACCACCGGGGTGCCGGAAATTTGGCGAAGCTGTTTGTTGAAACGTGTCCAGTCCGTAATGTCCGTTTCATGATTGAAAAACTATGTTTTCGCTATGCCTGTCAGATAGAAAAAAACACGGCGAAGCTTGGTAGGATCATCCCAGTTGTTAGTGGAACTCGCTCGATTTGACTGGTCCAACCGATCCTCCACATCTTCACCTCGAAGTCCGGCGAACGTGGGCGGCTCACGCTGGTGTGCGGTGATAATCCACGATGGATAGGCCGCGGTAGCCGGGGCCATGGAGGTAGACGCAGAAGCGGCAGTTGGCTCGTCCTGAGGCATGTTACCGGACACCTGGCACAAACGACGACTTGAGCGGAGCTCCAGGAGGCAGATCGGGCTGGGAGAGGACGGAAGATCGTAGAGCACACTCCACCACTTGTGATGTAACAGTGAAGGAAACCTTTACTAGGCCCAGAAGGCACGATGAAGCGACCACACCCAAGGCACAGAACTCAGGCAAGCCAAGTCCCCACAGCAGATGAAGATGACGACCACTCATGATGATGAACATGTGTAAAGGTAGTAGATGTGCTTAATAAATGCCTACAATATATATATGAAAGCGCAAGAAAGAAAATCAAGAAAAAAACTCTGGTGCACGGAATCGAACTTGGGGCTTATAAAACGCGAGTGCGAGACGTTAACCGCTGAGCCACAGAGAGACACGTCCTTCAACATTCAGATGGCAAGCTATCTACCACTTACCGCTATTGACGGGCATCTCGAGGGGGGAAACTATGGTGTTTTCAGCATCACCAGCAAGACGGCACAATGAGCGCGCGTCACCACATCGTCACAACGCAGCAGCGCGCTTTCTCATCTCCCACGCGCACTTTGCCCGCCAAAAAGAGGGGCTTGGACGATCACTCGCGCACGCTTATCTCGCGGTAGGGAGGGTCGTACGTCTTGGCTGGCCTTGGGATTTCACCGGAACGATTCTGTTGTAGCTACCGGGCGCACAAAGGTCACTGCAATCGTTGCACAGTCTCCATTTGCGAAAAGGGGCACGCTTTCCAGACACAGCGAAGTGAGAACTGAAACACCCATTCACGTTCATGTGTACCTATGAGTACGTTTTCTGCGTCATTTGTGCGTGAGAAACGCGGGGCACGTTGGATCTGCTCGTCATCCTGCGCGCGACCTTCCAATTCGTTGCTATAGCGTTCATTGCTTCGCCTTTGCGGCAAAGCTGCGACTTTTTTTTTTCTTGCACTTGTCCGCTGTATGTGTGGCGCCAGGGGCATAGTCAGGCGTGTATAAACCCACGTCTTGCTCTGGCACCACGACGATTCGTGTCTCACGTATTGTCAAAGCTGTAAACAAACTTCAAACGCTTACGCCTGTGATCAACACCAGCGATCACTCCTGACGACACACATGGGACGCGGTATCAGGTTTCGTACAGTCGACTAATCCCAATGTCATCCGAATGCTCCGTGAGCGCAAAAGAAAAAAAAAGTTCACTGCTTGTCACAAACGAGCGGTGGAACCACCCTCAAAAGCGAGTCAAAACAGACGGCGCCGGCCAATCAAGCACCGCGATTCAAGGCGCCAGCAACTGTCGCTTCTCCAAAGCGAACTAAGATTAATTTATTGAGGGACTTTAAAGTGAAGGCCACTTCAGCTCCACCGCAAACAACGCACGCCGGGAAAGGGAGCACCGGGAAACAAAGAAAATTCGAGAAGGCTGGTACCGGCGCACGTCCGTCTGCGCAGAACACTCTAGAAGGGTCTAGTCCGATTCCTGGCCTCCACTAAGCTACGCACACGAGAGTGCTGAGGAATATTCACGAACTCTACCACGACCTGATATAAGCCGGCGACGACGGAGAGCCAAGGCAGTCGGTGAAGAAGCGGCAGAAGAATCATGTAACGGACAGACTGCGGAGGGAACAACGATGTCACCGTGTTTCCTTGAAGAGAAACGTTCGGGGCTCGCTTCAAGAACTTGTGGACTGGCATTGTTGGTGGACATTTCAAGACCTTAAGTCTTCTGAAAATTTTGGAATGCATGAGATTGCATTTGTAGCGGGATTGGTTTGATTGTTCCCAATGTCCTACATATCATCCGAGATGTCAGATGATATTTGGGACAATGAAATATAAGCTAAGTGCACGTATGTACAGGGCAGTTCAGAAGTTACCAGGCCAATATCCAATGTATTCGTATGATGGCGTGGCCTGCAAACTTTTGACCCCCTCCTTCTACAGGTGTATGCAATGCTTGTTCTGCCTTAACTAAGGATATATTTCATTATTGTTGTGAACTCTTGGCTTTGAATCAGTCTTTGCACCACAACCAGCATTCGCCGGTGCAATAAAGGGACCTAACCAGAATTGTCCAAGCTATCGTGGTGCGTTTGGAGGCGCCGATACATCTGCCCATCGAATCTTCCCGACGACTGCCGTTCCAATTATGGGATTAGTGACACTGCTGTAGTCAAGTACAATTGTGCCAGTCATGTATAAAATGTGTAACTCTATTTTAACACATTTATTAGCCCGTGAAAGCATTGCACATGTACAAAGAGAATGAGGGCATAGATCAAATTCTCTCAGAGATAAATGTAAATGCTATACCATGAAGGGTGATATACCACGGCCACTTCATGTGGAAATGAAACACAGAATGATCCCCGGAACACCAGTCATTATGAAACTCTAGATGAGGTCAGTGACTAGGAATGAGCGATTATTCAAGCACTTCAAATATCCAGATGAATATTACACGGTTCTAATTCGCTTAGAATACTGAAATTTGATATTTCAGAAACTTCGAAGTATTCGAAACGAACAAATACACACGTTTCTTAACCAGCCTTAAAAGGTTGTTTCACGGCAGCATCGACAGCTTTGCCGTGAAACAATCTACCCAAGCATAATTTGCTTTGCCGGGAAGACACTTGAAAGTTTAATGAGCATATTACCTTCACAAGGAATGATTATGATTATTTCTTTCTTATGCTTCAAAGTACGTGACATACACTTATGTGCGTTAAAAATAGCGAACATAAGAACGTAATACATTTTACTACTTATATAACTAGCATTTAGCTGCTGTACAAATCCTGCTACTGTTAAAAGCTGCTTCACATTGAGAAAGCGCCATTCGCACAGGCCTTGTTCTACTTATTAAAAAAAATGCGCACATATGCGTAGTCAATATAAATGTTCTATTTTTTATCATACGGCATATACATTCTTAAATTTGAAATGGTTTAACAAATAACTACTCACTTTGAATTCACCTGGAATCTACAATTGCAAGTTTGCCCACACATAATAATGCCATACTTATTTCACACACTGTCATAGTGCTACCAATGTGGTCTTATTTATTGCTTTTCCCCATGATACTTCCACAAAATAAAATGGTAAAACTGCTGAAAAGCTTGGGTTCTGAGATCTGCATATGCAAACAATTATCTTGCAGATATACATTATATATTACTAGTATACAAGGTACCCAAAATCTTGACGGGAGCCAACAGATGAAAACAACATAGTGGGATAATCATAAGGCGAACAGGTGAAGTGCCTCAGGCCAGCCAGTCTGAGGCCCTTCACCTGTTCATCCTATGATTATCCCACTAGTATACAGGGTGTCCCACGTAACTTTAGCCAAGAATTTGATAGTGAAAGGCATTTAGCAGGCAAGTTTAACCAAACGCATATTACTAGCACTAGCTTGTAGGTACTCAGGCTATTTTTTATTTCTCCCCGTACTAACTAATTAATAATTCTCAATTACCCATTTTTTTATTTATGGGCTGGAAACGCAAAATATGGACATCGAGATGTAGAGCGTCATTCAGAAACCACCAACTAAATTGTTTCCTGTACGATACGTCTCGCGCTGTTATTTTTTTTACATTGTAAAGAAGACCTGTGAAATGTGAAAAGTCATGTGACGGACCGCGAGCGCACTGCTATGGGCTTTCTTTACAGCGTGAAAAAAATAACAGCGCTATACCTATCGGACAGTGAACAATTTAGTCAATAGTTTCTGAATGTGCTCTACATCTCAGTGTTCATATTTTCGGTTTCCAGCCCATAATTAAAAAGGTAATATAGAATTAATAAGTAATGATTATGGGGAGTAGTAAAAATAGCCTACAGGCTAGTGCGAGTAGTATGCATTTGGTTCAATTAGCCACTTACGGTAAGTGTCTTTCATTTTTAAATTCTTGGCACAAGTTATGTGGGACACCCTGTATATATATATATATATATATATATATATATTACTACTGCTCTCCCCTTATGCAACTTATACAGCAAATTATACTAACTTTGCACGCGTAAGCTCCTTGACTGTAAAAAAAAAACATGTGAAGAAAGGGTCTTGAAACATAAATGTAATGAAGCTACAGTTTCTATCCAGTCAAAATAGAACTAAACAACCAGATTTCCAATATAACCAGTGACCAGTTCAGTATTTTTAGTAAAGTGGCACCAACCTAGTTGTAGATGCATGCAATTTCTTTGATCACAAAAACTATTTCTTAAATACAAAACATTTTGACTTTCGCATAAGCGGCTCATCACTTCAATATAGTGAGATACTAACCTTTAATAACCTATCAAACTTGTTTGCACTATTAATGCAGCATCACTAATGTGTTTAAAGGAGCAGTGACGTCTTCTAGATTTCAAAAGTCTTTGTTGTCTATGGTTCTCAACAGTCAATATTTCGTACACAAAACCATTCAAGGGCGTTTTGATTGTGCACGAAGCTTTACACAAAGGCAGCTAACATGACCACTAGCTGGATTACGTTAACTCCGACATGAAGGTTATTATACCAAGCAGTAGCTGTTTTGCTAAACAATAAAGCCATTGATAATAAATGCATATTTTTCATTTCTAAATAGTCTACAGCGTCTACTCATAGGTAAAGTCTTCAAAGCTAGCCACTTGCCCAAAGCCCCGTTATCCCCTTCCAATAAAAAAAAAAGAAGATTTCTGTTGTGTACTGAGCGAAATGACATATACAATATATATTTTTGTTTCTATACATAAAATGTGCCTATTTCAACAGTTAATGCAATCATTATGGAACTCTATACTATTGTAACCATCACAACAATTAAATTAACCAGCTTAAATACATCTTTCATTTGTCTTTCGCGGATGTAAAGGCATTAGTATGCGTCGATACAGTGCCCCCGGCAACGTAAAAGCAATATACACAGATGCAACAATTGAAACATTAAAGCTATAGCAATAAGCAAAATTAAATATGCAAAAATGACTGTATACAGTACAGTGAAAATAGAGTGCACCAAGCTTCTGAACACTCACAAATATTGAAAACAGACACGTCTTGTCGCATCAGATCTGGCGAGTAGCAAATAAATAGGACAATTAGGCAAAAATCAAACATGAAGTGAAATGAAGCGATTATACTTGGCATGCACAGGAAGGACTGCGAAAGCCATGCAGTTACAAGTAAAACGAAGCAGCTTGTGAGATCGACATCAACTTGTCTTGAGTTTAAACTACAAAGAATCAGCAATGTCATAAATTTGCATGAGCAGCCATGCTCCTCGGACGTGCTTTCTCGCTGAGTTGTCAACGCACCACACATGTGCACATGATGTTGGCACATGTTGAAAAAGTCACTGTTTCGTGTGCTCACAATGCCAGCCACATTTAAGAGCAACCCTGGCTGACTCCGGCCTCTGAAGAAAAAAAAATGTGACTGGGCAATGTAAAAACGCACCCAGATAATTCTCCTTTGCACACCTAAGCGAGCAAGGTCTTCCATCACGATAGGTTGAATGTTAGCAATGTACCACAACAGAAAAAAAAAAGATGAAATATTTTTGTGTTAATACTCTTCAGCATTTTAGAATGTTGAAATTGTTGAAAGACTGTCAAAGAAATAAAAAAAGGACAAAAATGCAAGAAAAAGACAATAAAAAGAATGTGCAGGAAAGTGCCACGTGGTCGTTATTGTGTGGAGAATAATAAACAAGAGAGCATATTTCATCTTTCCCTTCTAGAGGAATGTGGCTGCTGACGTGAAGGAATGGGAAGATGTAAAGATGCAGTCGAGGTATCCTACTGGTAAGCTGCCAGTACTATAATGCTTCCTTCAACTAACTGCCAGAGGGCCATACTTGTTGTCATGCTAAATGACTTAGGAATGGCCCTTTGTGCATATGACAGGCTGATAAGCTGAGCATTAAAAAATATTACTCACGAGATCAGAGGGTGGTATACCATGTGACGGATGGTGCCACAGGCAGACAATGATACCAATGTGACAACCAAAAATGTTCTGATGACCTCTAGATACTTATTTGAAACATTTGTGAGTTGTACTGCAAGCAGTAAATAACATTTGGTAATCATCGACAATCCAGCTGCATGGCATTCAGGAAAACGTACTTTATGTTCGTTTAATCGGTAATAAATAATATCCGAGGGAATACACTATTTTGAATGCCTGTGAGCAAGTCCTTTTGCACGGCTGCCAACGCAGCGACCTTGACTAGAGTTTTCGTGGGGCACACATTTTATGGGTTCGTCCAATCACACAAAGACTGGCTGATTCTCGCAACAAAATTTTCCCAACCAACCGCCAGACACCTTTCGAGTTTTCCATTTGGAAAAATTCGAGATGGGCTTTCCAGAGAGGCTACTGTGCTGAGCTCATAGAGAGATTACAATTTCACAATAGGAAACCAGAACATTTTAATTTAGGCTAGTTTTGATAAATTTGGCAATATTCAATTTATCAGTGTTCTGTTACACCAATGCTCATTCAGGGCGTGTTGAGATGAAATGGAACAAAAAATGACAATTTTTTGCCTTGAATGATATGATAAGCATAGTGGCATTTTCGTTTAGTGTGAAACCTAGGTATCTTGTTTGGTTTTCTTTTAGTTCAAGACCACGCCACATCAGGCGTCGGCATTTTCATATCTCTTGGGAAAACCAGTGCAAGTGACCGTCCCACGAGCATGCGCCATATCTGGTGCTGACTCGAGTCATTCATTCAGTGCCCTAGTAGACATTTTTCTACGTATTGCACCAAAGCATAGAGCAAAAGTGTGCACAAAGAATTTCGAATTTCCCCAACAAAAGCGAAAAACAAAGGAGTGGGGTGGGGGGGGGAGGCAATAGCCACCCATGGCTTTTGCTAAACCAGCCTGCTCAGCACACGACTGTCATGCCAGAGTAGGCTTTAGTATTTGCAATCTGTCTATGCCCAACAGACTGCTTGCCAAGCAACAGATTGCTTGCCAAGGCACAGAGTTTAACAATACCACTCTAGAGAGAAATCCGGCACTAGCGTCGATAGGAGCTGGGCGTGTGGGGTTTGAGCCAGCGTGGGAATGATGGGTAGAGCGTGGATTTGCCTCAGTTTCATTCTTTCGGCTCCACATGACTCTTGGTGGTTTATAGCTGCTTCATCGCAGGACGAAATTTAGCGAAAGTTCGGCAGACCCGTTTCACAACCTTGACCCTTATAATATATAAACTCCCCAATTCAAATCTGACCACAAAACTCGCAATGAACCTGTTTTTTTTTTTTGCAGCACGAGCTAAAGCAGATAATAAATAATATTGTTAGGGTTGAATGCCCTAAAACCGTGATGTGATTATGAAAGAAGCCGCAATGAAGGGCTCCGAAAATTTCGACCACTGAAGGTTTTTAACGTGTGCCTAAATCTATGCACACGGCTCTTGAGCATTTTCGCTTCCACCGGAAATGCAGCCGCTGATGCCAGGATTCAGTCACACAGCCTTCAGTTCAGCATTCGAACACCATAGCCGCTAGACCACTGTGGCAGGCATAAAAAGCCAAACACAGTAATAAACAAAGCTACAAGCACTTTCGAAGTTGCAAGCATGAAGACTATGCAAAATTTATGTACTACCCATCATTCCCAACATGGCCAAAAAATAGCAAGACCAGAGTTCCTTCCAGCAAATAGTGCAAAAAGCGCTATGGCTGCAAGAACGCTTGACTCCCTCATGACCCATAGCATTGTCTCCACACAGCTCTTGTGTGTTGTGCAATTTGGCTGCCCCAGATAGCACAAGTGCCACTGCCAATTGATGATAACTTCGGAGCAGCACGGCATATGCAAAACTGGTGTGATGCTATAGCTACCTGAGAGCACAGTTCCACAGACAAGGTCACGTGTTTGCCCAACATTTTAAAAGAAAACAGCACAGCAAATGGCTTCATGAGGAGTTCGCTAGCCAACTTTGTTGTGCAATATTCCTTCATACCCGTTCATTTCTTTCCCGCTATATTCCAAAGTGAACCTAGACAATGACGAAACATCGAAGCTAAGGGCTATAAATTACTTTTGCCCACTTCAGGTTAAGATTCACTACAATGTAAGCAAGTGCTTTCGCATTCCCGTCTTATCAAAAATGTAACATCAGCTAAAAATTAAACTTTTGATCATAACATCGAGTATATTTTGGATACAAAATGACTAAAGAGGTCTTTGAAGGGCACAAGACTAAAAACAGCTTCGCTCTACAGTTCATTTACACTGAGTGTAGAAGCATACTCGTGCCCCTGTCTAATTGCGAGGAAAAAAAAAGGCTTCTCCATCAAGCCTGTGGGTGCCTGATGCAGTTCCATCACAAAGCGCTATCAGAACGTGTCGGCCTCCCAAGAACGAAGGCCGTCAGGGCCGGCAGCAGTGCTTGTCATGCACGAGCAGAGCTGCGGCCGCATTGGCCGAGCCCAGTGCCAGCTTCGTTTGTGGCTGTGTCGGTGGGGGATGCTGGTGGCTGAGTAGAGCCACCTTGACGACCGTGTCGTGAGGCACGCTGGCATTCGAGCGTCGGTTTGCCGAGGTGGTGGCGAGTGACAGGTAGTAGCTGCCGGGCCGGTGCTGCAGCACCTGCATCGCCACTGCGTGCCACAGACGAAGGAAAATGGGCGTAAAAGTGATAGAGAGCACTGTTGGATCAAATCACCACGTGTGTTCTACGATGGAGATGACAGCGCAAATGCTTTATACAGAAAGCAGTAAGACGACGAACATGGCTTACAGTGAATGCTTCCAGCGAGTGGAATCACAACCACTGTCAGTAATGACCTAGTGGTTCACATCGTTCAAGTGTTGTGCGACTTGGTATGGCCTAAAGTATCGTCTCAGCAGTTTGAGGGTTAAAATCCATACGTCGTGGCCCGGAGGGTAGGCGATCAACCTGTGTTATCAGTTGTACTGTTCCACATCTTTATGTTGCTGCTGGCAAATGCATATGCAAGCACGCTGTCTGGATTCTTCGAAGCGTTAAAATTTTCAGCTTCGGTATGAATGTTGTCCCAATATCAAGTCAGTAGGTTGTCAGTTTGGGCTAGTTGATGCGAGTGAACCGCAACATAAATTTTTCACCAAATAAGAGTGAAGAAAAACAGAAAGATTAAATCTCAGTTTTTCAGAATAATGAAATCTCTTATCTTTCTATCATTGTCCACTTTGGTTTGGCCTACAACGATATTGCATATTAGGTGGAGAAAGCGTTAATGATGACTATAAATTCAGCTAGTTGGACATATTTCCTAATAATGAATAAAACACAGTGCTAACAGTAGGGACCAAAAAAACAAAGTGAGGCATTGTACAAACGCATGCACACACGCATGAAGAAAAAAAATGCCATTCACGGAGTGACTATAGTGACACATATGTGATGAAACACACGTTTTTGCAAGGTCTTCGGAAGTAATGTTGCATTCTAGTGCTGCCCTATACTACTCAGCGTCGCAAGCACCATCTAATCACGACACACGAACTGGTTCGCGTGCTTCGTTTAAATTATGTAGAGCTCCAGCTTTTCTTGTTTTGTTACTCTGCTTTCATTTGTGTCCTGAATACACTGGGAAATGCCCCATATTTACTTTCTAAGTGTCATGTAGCACATGTGGGAGCCTATGCAAGACAGTTGGCTCAATTTTCTTTGTCACAAAACCTGTATGCTTTAGCCCTGCTTCTAAATTTATCGTTTAGTCTAACTGCACAGGTTTCAGTCTGTTTAATGAAATATATAGAAGCGTCTTCAAATGAATCTTGATGCAATAAGACGTCCTCAACTCTAACAATGTGACAGTGACCACACACTGCTAAAGAAAACTAACTATGGAGCCCATTATCCAGTACAAAAAACACGCGACAACCGCAAGGCCCAGACTCTAATGGGTCTGTGCAAAACTCACCATTCTCCTTTGTTGAGAAAATGTCGGGAGCGCACTTGGTGCCTGCAGAAAATCGTAGAGTCAACTTAACAGCTGCGGTGACATCCACACTGATAATAGCACAGCTCAATCCCAATACAACGAAACTGACACACAGGAAAAATTTTGATGAAGCAAAAATATCGTTATAGTGAAATTAAAAAAATATAGCCGACCTGATCTAGCAGAACAAAAGAACTTTTATTCCCTAAATTCGAAAAGTGTCCGCTGCTTCCTTTTCTTTCGCAGCAGTGTCATGACGCGATTCTCACACATGCATAGTGACGCCATGTTGAAAATCACGCTGAAACAATGGCCAAAATGGCTTTTTGAATGAACCTGACAGTTGCACTAACACGCTAGCACCAGCTGCCAGTCACAGCTGGCTGATTTAGTTCATAATGCATGTGAACGACTGCTCTAACCAGTGACCACACTGGCCAAGTGCGAAAAAAACCAAAAGCATTGGCATCGGAAAAGGCATCTTTCCATCATTGCACCCAGTAACCACAGTGAGTAGCAAACTCATGGAGAGGAAACTCAATGAACTGAGCAACTGAGCTTCCATTGCTGATTGTCAGCGGCTCAGAAGTAAGCCAGTGGCAGAAGGAGAGCACTCTCGTTATAATCACTATCAAGCAATGACGGCTCTCGTGCTTTTTAAGCAACGGCAGTTTCAGGCAGTGTCAATGCGCGTTTTAGACTTCGCAGACGTATTTTAGATGCGAAGCAGCTTATGATGGAGTCCAATTTGGTGTGCATGCCCATTCTTACTGCGAATGCACAACAGCAGGCCCAAGCACTGCCAGAATGTACTAGCACTTCCTTGCGTATGTAAGGGGCTGTGTAAGACGCAGTGGCCTCTCTCCCTTACACTCTCTCAGCAATTATGTGATGCATCGGGGAACGAGATTTTGCAGACACGCAATGAACCAACGCATTGTATCCTAGTCAGAATGCACTGCCACGCATTACAAGTTCAGGCCTGTGTAAGTGGCTGTGAGAAAGCTGCGGTGTCCAGCCCCCGTGCTGCTTCTTTTTGCCTCATGGCCCCTTTTTGCAAAAGATGGTGTCATTTTTTATGTTCTGAAAATGCACCAAAATGTTCAAGATCACGTTTACTGCACAGCAATAAATATCCAAGCCTGGAATGGCATTGTCAAATTTCGTTGAAGTGTAACAGCAGAAGAACAACCATTCGTATTGGCAAGAATATTTATGCATGGACTGCTAAAGAAGAACCGAGAATTTTTTGTTGTAGTAGAAATTTCGTTGAAACGGCGTTCGTTGTATCAGGGTTTGACTGTATAGCAAGTTGTTGGGTCAGTTGGTGCACTGCCCACACAGCAAGATATTTTTCTTAAGTCAACAGGATAAACCAGCCAGATTACTTTTACACTGAAGCTGTGTGAAAATTAGCTAAGACCTAGCATGTCTTGGTCAGTCACCTATAATAGTGAAGACAAGCAGTTTACCACAATGTTTTTATGAATTATTCTCAATACCTCAATGTAAAATAAGTGTATAAGACTGGGAGACCTGTGCTCTTGAAGTGACGGGGCAGTCACCCTTGCATAATGTGTGCCTGTAGAACACTTTGCTGCACTGGCAAGTTTACTCTGTAATACGGCTTTTCTCCACATTACGTTTCACACAGTTGTGATGTGACGAAACTAACATGGCGACAGGGGCTCCGGAACCAAGGGGGCCAGTGGGCGTCGTCGCCCCCACAGGTTAGAAACTAGGGCCCATCGCAAGTGCGCCCAGAACTGTGGTAGCTCTGTAGAGAGGGAGACCAAAGTTGCAGTGACATCACACCAGATCTGTAGCGAGTGCAGGCGTGCGCAGGTTTCCCCTCCAGGGGGAACAAAAGTTCATCGCGCGCACCCCTTCCCTATTATGTATATCAGTAGATCTGACTTGGCATCCCTTCCCCAAGTCGCGGCGCCCCCTTCCTATTATGTCAATGTGTAAGGCTGTGTTTGTACCCCCCCCCCCCCATTCAGAACTTTATTCCCGCCTTTGATAAGCGAAAATAGAGGTGTGGGAAAAACCTGTCCTTGCATAAACATACCAGGTTTAAAGCCAATGTAAAATAAACAAATAAGGACATTTAGGTAACAACCAAAGTGCTAACTTACATAAGAAAGCCAATTAGAAAAAGAAAAAAAAATGTGAGCAAAGGTAGCGCACTGGTCTCCCTAGGGATCAACGGTGACACATACCTCGTGGAACATTTAGTAATTCACCCATGGAACTTAGCTGAGACAGGCCCAGCAAGAAATGAGAAGGTCACAAGATATGAGAGATGAACAGCAAGAGAAAAAAAGAAAAAGTGCCGCCACATCCACGAAGTGAATGATGATGAGTGGGCGAAGCTCCGGAGGTAAACCTGGTAAACCATGAATCCTCCGTACATTTTGCCCACTCGATTTTATTGCAACGCTCCCCCTAGCGTACGTCGCCGCACTATATCGAACGATGACACGCGCCATATGTGGCATCATTCCTATTTTATAACACCTCGCATCTTTCATAATCAACTACACGTACCGCCGTCTAGTTTATAACATCTTGCATTTTTTGGATGGATGGATGGATGGATGGATGGACGGATGGATATGGCTGAACCCTTTAGATCGGGCGGTGGCTAGCGTAATACTTAATGCCGTCAGCTACAAGTACCGCCATCTAGTGAACACTGCAAGAACTGAACGAGAGGTGGCTACATACAGGGGACGCACAGCCCACGCCTTAAGGAGCTTCGCTCCTAAAAAGAAAACGGAGGACCGAGAAGAGGAAAGTAATATCAAGAAAAGACGAGCAGATGGCAGAGGGTAAGAGTGAGTTAAAAAAAAAACGTGCCCCACTCCTTCGCGCACACAGGTTCATCCATTGGCAGATACAGGACATCTTGAAGCGTCTGGATGCATCGTTCATGACCCCATACCAAACCAAAGGACAGAGAAAAGAACGATAGAAGAGAAAAAAAAACACTGCTCGGCATTAGTCAAACACTGTGCCACCAGTCCTCTTGCTTGCACCGTTTTAAAGGCCACTCACCAGGCCCCATACTAAATTTTAGTTAGACAGTGGAAGTTGTTGGGTGTCCGATAAGGAACATTTTGCTACAAAATTTTTTTTGAATCGGCTCATCACGAGTGGAGAAAACGAGTTTTTCGAAGCGGCATGAAACGAGAATGAGAGGAGGTGAGCTCGAAACCCTCGCCCCTCCTCCATGTAGCCTTCGCAAGCCAAATCTATTTCCCACTCTCTCAGGCATCCGACCAAGAGGTCACGTGCGCATGACGTGCCCAAACAAGTCCAACCCCCGAGCAGGCTAGTGGCATTGCTTTGTTGGCCAGCGTTATTTTGTGGTCTTCTGCCTGTTTCTGCGAGATGGTTTGGAAATGCTGGCTTAGACGCGGTAGAATAGATGAGCACAATGAGTGCGCGAACGCGTAGGAGCATTCTACGCGGTCGTCTGCTTGATGCGCTGACCGCGGGTACACGAACGCATGAGAAACGCTGACACATTAGCCCCGCATTCCGTTGCAATTCATGAAAGAAAAATAGAAAAGAGATGCTCACATTTCCTTATTACGTCTGATTATTTATCTAGAGATTTATTAATCTCTTCAAGCAACAAATCATATAAACTACGCATGCCGTGTTAAATATTTAGTTTTCGCCATGTAACGTGCCACTGTTTGCAATGTCAGAGCAGAGTCGTCTACATAGAGGACCAATATCACTGCATTGCCGTGTGCGTAGGGCCATTCATACGCACACGTCATGCCCTCATTCTCTGGGTGCGCGCCGGCAGAAGGGAGGGGGAGCAGTGTTTATCTTGAAATTTGACCCGTTTCCGCGGCGCGTAGCGTTGCAAATTTTGGCAGACGTGATCATGAACGCCTTGTTTACGCATTGCGCTTGTCAGCTCAAAATCGTCGAACCTGGTGAGTGGCCCTTTAAATCCAGGGTGAGTACATGCGTTCACAAGGGTTGTCATGAGGTCCCAACAGGCAGCCGTTGATCGAGGATGGCGTCACGGTTTAACTGTGGTGTATTGCGACAGACAAGGACAATGTGTGAGGCAGAGGCCGCCGAGGTTCTCACCCTCTCCAGTGTATGGCGTACAGGACAGCTCCACCTCCACATCATCCCAATCATGTGGGTGTGTATTTGTCCACTGCCCCTGCTTCATCCACTGTCGACTGCTTCGTCTTGGCACGCCATTATAGCGCGAGGGATTTTGCAGGCTAAGTACTCAACTGAGCTCAGGAATGGTGTCTCCTACCTCCTTAACAATTTTAATGATCAGCGCACGATTTTTTGCATATCATAGCAGAGACGCATACCTCTTTTGCTCATAATCAGGATGTGGCTAGATTTGTGTTGCCAAATTTCAGACGGCACTCAATCAGATAATAATCAGTTCCGTCGGAAATGGCGCCGCCCAAGCAGACCGGTTCCAGAAGCAGGTTAAAGCTGTGTAAATAGAAGTGGAACCGACTGTTCCTCGTAGGGAGGGTGACGAAGGCTTTGTTAAGGGGGAACCAAAAAAGTGCATCCAAGGCCTATAGATCCCATTTGAATAGGTCAGTGTTGGCATCATTCTCTGTCCAGTCAAGCTCCCAACGCTGGAGTTCCTGCTTCATCAAGGCACTGCAGACCGCCCTCAGAGCGAGGGGAGCCTGCCTCGTGTCACCCAATCGGGCCGCATGTGCAGTGAGAAAATCTGCCAGCTCATTGCCAAAACGTCCCAAATGTCCTGGCAGTTGGTGGAGCGCAATTAAGATGACGGCAGAAATGTCCTGCAAGAAGATCTTTATTTCTCAGGTTCTCAGGTCGGTCGTCCGGAACTCTGAGAGTGCCTGGAGCAGGGACAAGCAATCCGTGTATACCAAGACTGTGACAGCTGAGCCCTTGTTTCTTAAGAACTTGATGATATATGGTGTTTTTCTGGCGCAAGGGCCATTTGATGGCCAAAGAGCGCCAGTTCATGGGACAAGAGATGTGGA